TTATTGCCAAATAATACTTGATTGTAAGGATACATCACATTTTATTAATTCTTCATCAGTTGACGGACATTTGGATTGTTTCCACTTTCTGCTTATGAATAATGCTACTATAAATATCTGTGTACAAGTTTTTGTGTGGACATAGGATTTAATTTCTCTTAGATATGTACCTACGAGTGGAACTGCTGGGTCATATGATAACTCTATGTTTAACATTTTGAGAGAACTGCCAAACTTTTTTCCAAAACGACTGCACCATTTTACATTTCCACCAGCAATGATGAGAGTTTCAACTTCTTTACTATTGTTTGAATCTTATAGAACAAGAACACACCATACAATATCCTTACCCTCATGGAACTTCTAGTGGAATAAGACGAGAAATAAACATCTTAATTTCAGATAATGAGAAAATAAAACAGGGTAAAGTAACCAGAAGAAAAGGGAGTCCATAGCCAGGGAGGTCAGAAAAGACCTCTCTGAGAAGGTAACACTGACCTGAGATGTGAAGAGCAGGAAGGGGAATATTCCAGTAAGTGGCAACAGCAAGAAATAAAACTGAGAAAAGAACAAGTTTGGCATGTTCAAAGAACAAAAACGAAGCCAATTTGGCTGAAGTAAAATGAAAAGGCAGAGAAGGTAGGAGACAAAGGTGGGGAGGTAAGTAGAGGCCAGATAACAACGGGCCTCAGAGACCATGGTGAGGTCTATGGATTTTAAAATGCCATCATCATTTTTTAATCCCTTATGTTTCTTTAAATACAGGTGTTCATCTATGCAAACATTTATGAACTGTCACATATCTTCTGATTGCACGCAATAGTAGCATTCTATTTTGTGGCCCAAGAGAGAACACCTAAAACATGCTAGCAATGGTGTTTTTATTTATTTTTTTTTAAAGATTTTATTTTTCCTTTTTCTCACCAAAGCCCCATGGTACATAGTTGTATATTTTAGTTGTGGTTCCTTCTAGTTGTGGCATGTGGGATGCCGCCTCAGCATGGCTTGATGAGCACTGTCATGTCTGCGCCTAGGATCCGAACTGGCGAAACCCTGGGCCACCAAAGCAGAGCACACAAACTTAACCACTCGGCCACAGGGCTGGCCCCCAATGGCATTTGAGTAACAAGACACAAACATATAAATTAATCCTCACACATTTATCACCTAGTCTTAACCAATTTAAGGTGTATGCCTTACGGACAGTACCTAGCAGCTCTGTCTTAGAATATTAAGGTCATTTTCAATAAAGCAAGCAAATAAGAACATTGCAGATCATTCTCATAATTTAAACCTAGACTTCATTCTTTTTTTTTTTTTTAAGATCGGCCCTGAGCTAACATCTGTTGCCAATCTTTTTTTTTTTCTTTTCCTCATAGCTCCCCAGTATGTAGTTATATATTCTAATTTTAGGTCCTCTTAGTTGAGCTATATGGGACACTGCCTCAGCATGGCCTGATAAGCAGTGCTAGGTCCACACCCAGGATCCAAACTAGTGAAACCTGTGGGCCACACAAGCGGAGCGTGTGAACTTAACCACTCATCCATGGGGCCAGCCCCTTGATTTCATTCTTTTAAACTGAATTCTAATTAATTGACTGCTTTTCTTCATTATATTAATTAAAAATCAATATTCAACTGCTAAACATAAAAACTATGGGCACAGAATATTCTACATGTTTCTATACTATTTGAATCTTTGAAAACAAGAATTTTTCGCATATTATTGCTAAGTTTGGTTCTTTCAAAGAGACAAAAATGTTTTTGTAACTCTAATGACATAAATGCCACTCCCTTGATAAAAGAAACTGTCACCTAGTCAAGTTAAAATTCCCTTCTATGGTTCCATCTTGATCTCCCTTGGCTCTCCCTCCAGGCACTGTGTGCTCCTGCCCAACCAGACTACTTGCCAGCCTCATACTTGTCCCCCCCTCCACCCCAGCCTTATGATACACATCCCCCACCAGGAGAAATCCAACCAGTTCTTCAAGGTCCAGGACAAACACTCTCTCCTCCAAGTCTCTTTTTCTGCCCTCTCCCCAGAGTAGAGCTGATTTCTCCTTTCTGTGCTCCTGTAGCACTTCTGCACTCAGATGTTGCCTGACCCTGTCCGCCTGGTACACAATAAATGTGTCTGCTCTTGGACAGAGACATCGTCACAAAACTACTCCCCTCAGTATACCTTAAGTACATAAGAATAAAGCTATTTGCCACTACTGGATGCTCAGTTGAAAGTCACACCCATTTTAGCATTGTTTGGAACAATAGATACCAAGTCATTACAAAATGCAAAGTCAAGAGTTAAGCCCTCTCCAGAGGCGATTAAGGCAGAGTCGTCTTTCCTTCCAAATTCTGACCTAATTCTTTAGTAAATATTCCTTACTAATGACACGATCCCACTCTTTAAGCGAAATTTTCCACTTTCACTAGCTACTCAAGAATTGCTCAACAATTCTTGCAACTCTTTCTGAAGTTTGTGAGTGATATGTATTATCAAGAATTTATGGCTCTAAACCCAGGGCACAAAGAATGTGAAAGATCTACACAAGGTCATACTGCTAATCACGGGGACAAGATATGATTCCATTCAGTATTCCATCCACAAACCTCCTAACATGAAAAACCTGAACATCAGTTAACTTTCAAAAGCATCTGAGGGTGCTTGGTGTAGAGTAAATGTTGAAATATTTGAATTAATGAAGACGATTTGAAATATTTTAGTCGTGGAAGTTTATTTACGATGTAAAAGTAATTAATCCTGAACCACGCAGATCACATTAACAGATTATTTCAAAACTCACTGTGCAATTAAAATTATAAAACAGTTTGGGGACGCACATAATAGCCAAAACTTCTGCTCTTGTTAATGGCACTGACCAGAAACCCATCCACAAGAGCCACTTTTTCCTCCTTCATTTGCTCCCAGAGGCCTAATAGACGAAACATTACAGCTCACCCCATTTTCTAATTTCAGCTTCCATTTAAGATAATGCTTTTGTTTCATTTACAGCTCACATGCTGCTGACACAGCTGCCCCTTCTTTGTAATAAACACAGGGCTTCTATATTTAAAAATACAGTGAAACTTTGTTAGAACATCCCCTCGCCAGTCTCCGGCCAATTTTCTCTCTTGCAAGCCCCACCTCCACCCCAGGATTTTCTATCAGCGCCGCTCAAAACGTTAGACCCTTTGGACAGTCAAATTTCTTCTTTAAAGACACTTCATCATAGTGATTTTTTTTCTCTACAGGAGGGGGAAAACATTAAACAAAAAAAAAAAGAAAGAAAAAAAGGATTCCTTTTCCCAGAGGCCTTGCCAAGCAAAAGCACTCAAGCCGGTGGCTCTCGAGCCTGCGGGAGTTTGGGGGAGCTGCACCGGCGCCCCCTACGTCAGCCGGGATGACCTCGCAGGCCGGCCGCTGCGGGAGGCCCGGGTGGACACGCGGCCGCTCGGGCGGAGACGGCAGCCGCGCGTACTGGACAGCCTGCCCGCGGGCACCGGGACTCGCCGGCCGCCACGCCGCCGCGCGGAGACCTCCGGCCCGCCCTCGACGCGCGCCCCCTGGGAGGCTGCTTTGTGTCGGGAGCGGGTGGGGATTCCCGTAAACCCCGGGGGACGATGACGAGGGCGACGAGCCGGGCGCGGGCTCCCGGGCCCGAGGACAGGGGGCAGACCCGCCCGCGTCACTTGGGACAGTCGCAAGGGGGCGGCCGAGGAGGGTGTGGGCCCGAGGGGGGCGCTGGGAGCAGATAAGGCGCGGCCCGAGTTAATCATCACCTCCCGAGCGCCTGGAAAAGGACTGCCCGGGGCCGTAGGGCAGCCCCGGGGAAAGTGAAACTCCTTCCCGACGGCTCAGCCCCGCCAGCCCGAGGCGGGAGCACAGAGACCCCGAGCGCGCTCGCTGCTCCAGCCGGCCCCGCGCCGCCCTCGTGGCTCCCGGAGCCGCAGCCCAGGTCACGGCGCCGTTAACAACTACACTAAAGCTTGTTTTGCACAAACTCACCCGGAGACCAGGGCGGGAAGAGCCGGAGCCACTGGAAATAAAATGTTAGTCTCCCCGTGCCGGTTTATTAAAACGCTATGCCGTTCCCATACCGGGAGTCGAACCCGGGCCGCCTGGGTGAAAACCAGGAATCCTAACCGCTAGACCATATGGGAAGCGTTGCTAGAAGCACCGCGGTGACTCACCTGACAAGCGCCAGCGCCGGCCGCTGCCTCGGCTCAACTCGTCGCCGCCACTCGGGCCGCTGCCGCCCGTGCCCACGCGCTCCCGAACGAGGGAACGAGCGCGGCCCGAGCGCGCGGGCGTCGCGGGGACGGGGCGGGGCCGCTCCGCCGCCTCAGGAAAGTTCGGAGGCGAAGCCCAGCAACTCGTAGCCTCGAAACCAGCTGTTTTACTTTTTTTTTTTTTTACTCCGCCAACGGCCCCCAACCTCCGGGTCCGGGTTGCTCCGCTGGTCAAAGTGCGTGCAGACTAGTTGGCAAAAGTTGAGGGCGGCGACGTCTCGGGGAACAGCTGTTTGCGTTCGGGGCGGAGGCGGCGCGCGAGCTCCCTGGCCACGAGCCAGCGAGCCTAGAAGAAGGGTGGAGGTTCTGGATCCCGGGGGTGAGGGAGAGAACAGGCGGGATGACGCGGGGACTTGAGACTTGAGGATCTGTCCTTCAGCTCAGGCCCCGTCGCGCTTTCGCCCCTTCTCGGTGACCTCAACCCCTTTATAGCGACCCCACCTCTCAGGAGCCGGGAGTACCGCCCCTGTAGGGGGAGGGGAGGGGAGGAGATTTCGCACGCGGATTGAGTCGTCTGGGCACCCGTAGTTGGGAACCGTGGAACACTGGTCCCGGAGCAGGAGGGAGGTATCCGGGCTGAGAGGCTCGGGTGGGCCTCGCGGCGGGCAGCGTCTCGACTGTCTCCGGGTGAGGAACACGAACCTGAGCCGGACCCAGGGGCGACGCGCCGAGCGGCGGGTCCAGTCATGTGAGTCGGGTCTCAGGCCCTGAACAAGGCGGTGTTGTTTCTCTGGGCGGCCTTTCCTCCCCGAGGCTCTCCCTCCACCACCGCCCCCTCCCCCGCCCCTCGGCTGGAGGCGTGCCGGGCGCGCTCTTAACTCGCTCGGGACCGGGCCCGGACCTGCAGGGCCGGTTTTCCGGGCGGGGTAGAAATGTTACCCCGCAGGGCGCCCTGGGGGCCTGGAGCACGGGTTCTCGGAAGGCAGGCGAGCGGCCAGCTGAGCTTGGACGGCCACCCGCGAAGCGACGGAGTGCTGCCTCCACCTACGTGGTCTGGGGTCGCGGGCACCCTCCCTTTTCGTTTTTGCATCGCGTGAACCCTGGGGAATCGTGAGACTGTAGGGTTGGAGTGCGGCCACCGCTGCCGCCTCCGCCTGCCAGAGCGGCCAGCACTGGTTAGCGTAATCACCATTTTTTTTTTTTTTTTGGTCTTACCGGCTGAGAGGTCCCTGGGCTTTCCCAGCTCTCTCTTGCCCTGTGGCTCAAGCACAGATTGTATTAACTGATAGTCTCGGAGGAACCACTGCCGCCCACCGAGTCTTGTGCTTTGTCCTTTTGGTGGAAATAACGATTTAAAGCAAACTTTCCGAGTTTTTTCAGGCCACCGTTCCAGCACCCTCCCAAAATGCCAGACATGAATAAAAAGGATAATTAATCTTCTCTTAAGATGTTTCTTGTTTCTTCACACTGATGACAGTAGCAAATGAGAAATTTTTTTACGAAAACGTCATTTTATTTAAGGGAGTTTTAAATCCGGTGCAGATTTTTTCTACTCTACTGGCAACAGAATTTCAGTGGACTGCTTCAGTCAGGTAAATAATAAAACAGGATGCTGTGTTGTAACAAGACAAGATTCAGTAGCAGGGGCTTATAGTATTTCTTTTTATTTGTTTTTCTGATAGTTTTTCAAACTCTAAGACGACTTGAAGCATGCAGAATTTTACTTTTTTAAATTGTAAATAAGCTTAGACTTGTTTTTCCCTTTTTCAGGGCAGACTACTGGAAGTCACAACCAAAGAAATTCTGTGATTACTGCAAGTGCTGGATAGCGGACAATAGGCCTGTATGATAATTACACTATTAGAGATTCTGATAACAGTGTATTCTTGTGAAGTGTTCCTTTCTCACCTAAACTCAGAATTTACAAAGCATTTTTATATACATTGCTCTTGATTTTTCAAAACATTGAAAGCTTTCTATTGCTTTTTCATTCCTTGTAGGAAAGCTCTGAGCCTTCTTTTTCATCAGCCTAGATTTGATTATATATTAAGCTAAATTATTTCTCTGGCCGTTCAGTCACATTCAGGACATGGACATTGAGTGGGTAATCTCATTCATGTTTATGAAATACCTATGTTATGATGATATTGTTTGTAATACTGTCAGATACAAAGTAAAAGTGGAAAGCCCTTAATAGGTAAACAGAAACATTATTGTCATTTTTCTTGTTTGCTTTCTGCTCTAGAGAGAATTATATTTGATGCAGAGCTTTATATCTGTAAATGTTTAAATTTGAAAAAACATTATTACCTCTGTTCAGAATATGGAAATAACAACTCTGATTAAGCAGATAATTACTGTATCTCTTACTCTAGATTCAGCTTTTAAACATAAAACAAAAAGCAGCTCCACTGAGTTTTTTTCCCTCCTTTCATGCATGTCATATTAAAATGTCCATAGTACATAAATGCTAGGGTATCATTTGAATGTATATTCACATCATTTTTACTCATTGGAATTAGATGCTCAAAGGAATAGTAGCCCCATCCTTAACAATGTCTTCTTCTTTGGTAGACATTACAGTCGTCCTTCAGTATCTGTGGGGGATTGATTCCAGGACACCACACCCCAACCCCAATACCAGAATCCTGGGATGCTCAAGTCCCTTAATTGGCACTCCGTATTCCTCATCCTCAGATTCAGCCAACCATAGTGTCTGATGCAAAGTTGGTTGAATCCTCAGATGCGGACCCCGTGGATATGAGGGCTGACATTATTTACTATTGTCTACAAGAAGTTTGAGGATGTGTTTCTTTTGGGTTTTGTTTTGTTTTTTAGTCCTTTGTTGTTTTTTTTGCTTGAGGAAGCTTAGCGCTGAGCTAACATCCATGCCAGTCCTCCTCTATTTTGTATGTGGGATGCCTCCACGGCATGGCTGATGAGTGGAGGAGGTCCGCGCCTGGGATCCGAACCCGCAAACCTGTGCCACCAAAGTGGAGCATGTGGAACCCCAACCACTCGGCCACTGGGCCAGCCCCCTGTTTTTTGGTCTTTTTGAACAGTTGCTAAAGTTCTTGACTGTCTTGTTTGACTTAGGCCATCCTTACAAATAAACGTCACAAATTTTCAGACCCACCCAAAACGCTGATAGTCTTTCTTTTTTGGAAGTACCCAAGCAGTTCACTGAGTTTTATGAGTTATCTAGAGTAAACCCTTCTGGGATAGTCTTTCTTCATCTCCTTGAATTGCTAATACACATTGATTTAACCTTTAATTAGAAACAAAATTAATTTATTTTTGAATGGGCCTTTAATATTCTTTGTGTGGTATAATCAACTTTAGGAAACCCAATATATGAAAAATAGAGGATGAATTTTATTTACAAAGTCACACTTTAAAGAGGAATTCACAGTAGTACTTTAGAATAGCTCAGCTAGTACATCATATAAGATTTGGTTAACAAAATCTATTTTGCAGTTTACCAGAAATTTCTTATTGCATACAGCCGGACATTTGTAATTTAGGGAGCACTTCTGGCTGTTTTAGATAGGTAAACAGTCACTCACCCACCTCTGTCCCCATCCATCCAGTTACTGTCATTTCTCATAGTTATCACTTTTTTCCTTTTCTTGTTTATTCTTCCATTGTTTCTAACCTGTACATACAGATATAGGTTGTTATTCCAACATACGTAAGAGGTAGCATACTGTATACACTATCCTGCACCATAGGTTTTTTTTTTTAATTGAACAGTATATGCTGGAACTCTCTCCACATCAATATATAAGGAGCTTTGTTCTCTATTACAGCAGCCTAATTTTGATAGATGGTGCCAAATTGTCCTACATAGGAGTTTTATATTTTGTATCATTACCACATTGTATAAAGTATTTGTTTACAGTTTAGGAGGAATTTTTTAATGACCACTCTTCTCCCAGTTTGGAGGAATAAGGTTCAAAGGATCATTGTTTATTCTCTATGTCTCTTACCTAATGTGGCAAGTAGGGCAGTAGAAATTCTAGAGACGTCCTGGTTTTGACATTTTATGTTGAGAGGTGTTTCTTGAAGTTAAGATTTGTTTTCCACTCCTCTTTTGGCTTCATGTCTTGTTTGAGACCTTGTTACAATTATATTCACTAGATTAGTCATCAAGAGTACCTTGTATTTTTCTCCGTTAATGTGGCCATCATAGTTTATTTTAAGCCCGAAGGAAACCTGGTCAGAGGGCATAATAACAAATAATGGCGGTCAGTTCCCTAGTGTCATTTCATAAAAAGGGACAATTTTCATTAAAATTATTTTTATCTTTTTTGCCAGTTGTTTTAGTTTCAATTTTATGTTCCATTCCCATATTTACTGTTACTTTACAGTGAACGTTATGATAATTATGTAGTTTTCCTTTGTATTTTCTCTCTTTTTCATTTTCAAGAGTGTTGAATTTCATGAAAGAGGAAAGAATCATAAGGAAAATGTGGCAAAGAGGATCAGTGAGGTAATTTAGTTAATTTCTTTCTTTGCCAATTTTTCTATGTAAATATCAGTACTTTATCTAGCCTTCACTTGTATGTGTCTCACATAGATTAAGCAGAAGAGCCTGGATAAGGCAAAGGAAGAAGAAAAGGCATCAAAGGAGTTTGCTGCAATGGAGGCAGCTGCCCTGAAAGCATACCAAGAGGATTTGAAAAGGCTTGGCTTAGAGTCAGGTAAAAAAGCAGCCAGCATGTTTTAAAAGTAACATCAGAGGTCATGCTAAGCGAGCTTTTATTGTTTCCATAAAGAGGTTATACACTCAGGGTATACTCTTTTTTTGGGGGGGCGGGGGGGGCCTTTTTTTTATTGAGATAACATTGGTTTATAACATTATATAAATTTCAATATAGCCTACATTGTGTTCACCACCAAAAATCTAGTTTCTGTGTCACCTTGCAGATGTCCCCCTTTACCTCTTTTGCCCACTCCCCCAATCTCCCCTGGTAACCACTACTCTGTTGTCTGTCTGTGTGTTTATGAGTGAAATCGTACTGTATTTGTCTTTCTTTATCTGACTTATTTCACTTAGCAGGATACCCTCAAGGTCAGGTATACTCTTAGTGCTTTTCCTATGCATCATAGCCCTATTTAGACTGTGGGACTTTGCTTATGCACTCTTGTGTTGCTTTTAAAACTTCATCTTTCAACACCTCCATTCACAGCAACCGTTCTGCCTTTATGATTACCTATTGCTGGGTCTGTCACTGATTCATTTCAGAGACACTTGAATTTTTTAGGTATTCTAATTAATTGGCTAAAAGAAGCTATTCATTAAAAAATAGGCCTTGCGTTATAACCATAGTTCACTTTATCCATATGGTCAAAACTATAAATCATGTTTATTTATATGGTTGAATTATAGTGAATTAGCCTTTTGTGGACAAATTAACTGACTGCTACTAGAAGGTAAATAATTTTTTCTTTTTTTTAATTTTTTTATTGAATATATTTGATATATAAATTGTGTAAACTTAAGATGTATAACATATTAGTTTGATACATTATATATTGTGATATGATTGCCATTGTAGCAATGTTTATCACATTACACAATTATGGTACAGTATTATTGCCTATATTCATTATATTGTGCATTAGATCTCTATGGCTTATATACAGCTCATTGCAAGTCTGTACCCTTAAACAACCTCAATCTTATCTCCTACCCTGCATCCCTTGGTATCCACCATTTTACTGTTTTTTTTTATGAGTTGACTTTTTTAGATTTTACATATAAGTGAGATCATACACTACTTGTCTTTCTCTATCTGGCTTATCTCACTTACCATAATATGCTCAAGATCCATCCATGTTGTTGCAAATGTCAGGATATCCTCCTTTCTGATGGCTGAAAAATATGCCAGTGTGTGTGTATACCACTTTTTTGGGGGGAGGGGGGAATACTGACCCTGAGCTAATATCTGTTGCCAATCTTCCTCTTTTTTGCTTGAGGAAGATTGTTGCTGAGCTACTACCTATGCCAATCTTCCTCTATTTTGTATGTGGGACACTGCCACAGCATGGCTTGATTAGCAGTGCATAGGTCTGCACCCATGATCTGAACCTGTGAACCCTGGGCCACTGAAGCAGAGTTCGAGAATTTAACCACTTTGCCACCAGGCTGGCCCCTATGCCACATTTTTTTAGTCCATTCATCTGATGATGGGCATTTAGGTTGTTTCCATATCTTGGCTATTGTGAGTAATGCTGCAGTAGACATAGGAATGCCAGATGAGTGGTGCCATGTCTGTGCCCAGGATCGGAACCCACAAAACCCCAGGCCGCCACAGCTTAACCATTCGGCCACAGGGCCAGCCCCCAGGATAGTATTTTTAAAGTTTGGTTACAGCTGTTGGGCATAGCTAGCCAATCCTTTGGAAAAAAGTAAAGCCATAAAAACTACCCAGTTTTTCAAATACCTGATGGATCAGACTGGCTAACACGGGATTTGGTCATTCTTTTCAGTACTTATTGATCTAATGCAAAAAAATAATTGTATTTATTTGCATTTCTTTGAATATAAGTGAAAGTAAATGTTAATTTTCTGAATTACCTTTGTACTTTTTGCTCATTTTTCGGTTACAGTGTTGGATTTGTAAGGGATCTTTGTTGGAACATTAACTGGCAGTCATATTTGTTGTAAATATTTGCCATATGTCTTTCTTGTATATGTATTTTTTTGTTTTTATTTTTGCCATACAGAATATTTGAATTTTTATGTAGTCAGATTTAACGTTATTTTACTTTGTGTTCTTTTCATAAATGTCTTTCATTTGCAGTTTATATTGGTGTAAAAACATGAGAGGGACCGTGTAGTGGGGAATAGCTTTACTTTTTTCCAATTAATTTATTGTTAATCCAACATCATTTATTAAATTAACTCTTTTTCTTCTAATAAGAAACACCAGGAATCTGTAGTTGGGTCAGTGTCAGTACTGTTCTGTTTCAGTCATGTTTGCCTACTCCTGGTTCAGTTTCATACTACTGGGTTTTTTTTTTACCATAGTTTTAGGATAAGTTTTAATATCTAGTAGGACTAGATTCCCCTTTCCACTTCTTTTTTATAATTTTCTGGATATTCATGCATGTTTAGTTTTCCAAATGAGCTTTATAATAATGTGTCAGGTTCCCAAGAGAATCTTCTCAGGCTTTTGGTTGAATAACATTATTAATGTTTTATACCAGCAAAAAAAAAGAAAAAGGAAAAAGTTAGATTTGCTTCTTCGTCTTTCTCTCATTTTTTCTCTAGAAATTTCAGAGCCAAGCATATCACCAGTAACTAGCAGTATCCCACCCACCTCTGTATCAAATCAGCAGAAAGAAAAGAAGAAAAAGAAAAAAGACCCAGCAAAGGGCAGATGGGTAGAAGGCATAACCTCTGAGGGTTACCATTACTATTATGATCTTATCACAGGAGGTAAGTCATTTAGGCATAGACCTAGTAGACAATGATTACTGACAGTTTATTCTGTGCTAGGACTTTTAGTAAATATTGGAACATTTAAACAATGAAAGACATTTTTGTCACAATGGTAAAAAAAAAAATTATGTGCCCTTTAAAAAGGTACCCTTCTCATAGTGACTTAATGTCATACTTAGATAAAGCCTTAATGGTGAGTTCCTTACAAATAAACTATAGTTTATATTTTCTCAATAAAACCTTCCAAAAGTGTGAACTATGAGTAAATAAAGCATTTTACATGGAAGTAAGGCATTTCAGATCCACTTCGCAAATTACAGGGTTTCTTGAAATCAGATATTCTGTGGAAGAGATTTTCTATCCAAAAGCAGACTGGGAACCAGTAACTGCTTTCTTTTTTGTGTAGCTGTCTTGATTGACCCAGCAAAGTACTCCCCCTCCTATTAATGTGTTGGATATCACTTTCTAATAAAATACACAATGGTATTTTTCAGTAAGAAAATCAAAAACATCTTTTTTTCTTCTAAAACTAAATGTATTTGAGATTTGTATTCCATATAAATTCTGAGATAAATGCATTTATTATATATTTATGTAGCATTTTACTCTCCAGAAACATAAAATGTAGTGTCATAAATAAACAGCTAAGTGTGATACAAGGAGGAATTTTGAAGTGCTGTAATGTGAGATATAGTTAAGATTATATAGGAGCTCTGAATAATGAAGAATTAATTGTGATTATGTGGATCTGAGAGATTATCACAGAAATTACTTTTGAGCTGATCTATAAGTTAGGATGAGCACGTCAGAAATGATGTCCTCTAACTCACTATTTGTATTCCTAGCACCTAACACAGTGCCTGGCATGATGCAGACACTCCATAGGTATTTTGATTGAAAAAGATTGCAGTAGCTCATCATGAGGGTACAGCAAGCATTCCAGACAGGTAGAATAATATGAATTTAAAAAGGTTTCAAAGTTTTGGAAATAGTCATCTGTTGGAGGTAAAACATAAGGTTCTTTGAAGATTTGATGACAGAAGAAAGAAGCTAGAAAAATAGATTGGGGCTTTGTCATGGAGGGCTGGGAGGATGATGGTGCCATTTACTGAGTTGTGAAATACAGAAACAGAATAAGTTTAAGTGAGAAACTAAGGAATTCAATTTTAGATGTGTTATGGTTGAGGTACGTATTGGACATTCATGTGACAATTTTCAATAGCTGATGATTAGAATCTGGAGTTAGGGAGATAAATTGAGTCTGGGAATGTAGATATGTTAACTTTTAGACGTACAACCATGCACCCCATAACAACATTTCGGTCAACAACAGACCACATGTACAACAGTGGTTCCCATAAGATTAGTACCATATAGTCTAGGTGTATAGTAGGCTGTACCATCTAGGTTTGTGTAAGTGCATTCTGTGATGTTAGGACGACGACAAGATCGCCTAACACCACGTTTCTCAGAACATATCCCTGTTGTTAAGTGACGCATGACTGTCTGAGATGACAGGGAGAAAGAAGAGAATGAGAAGTAAAAAGGGTGGATAGTACCTATATTAAAAGAATGGATAGAAGAAAAGCCAGGAAAAAAGTAACAAATGGTCAGGAAGGTAGAAAATGAGATCAGGGAGTTAATCGAGTTAATCGTGTAGAAAACCTTGGGCTACAAGTATTACTGCAATTATGACGATCTTTGGAATCATCAGTTTTGGACTACCTAGAAATGGTAACACTCACTCAGTATTTGCACTGAACCTTAAGCAAAGTGCATATTACAGTTCAGCAGGGAACCATAAATGATTGTATGGTAGGGATTATAAGTCTTGCTCAAATTTACATAGAAACCATTTATTAATTGTCGTTTCTCCCTTCTCACGCCTATTGCTTGCTTCCTTTGTTCACCAGCCTACTTTATTCTCGTTCTCAGCAATACTTGTTGTTAATTCCTGCTTATTTCATCTTGTTCCTCTTCTGAGTCAGTCATTCCAGTTCTTACTCTCCCCTGCCCCAGGATGTCAAAAGGCCATCTCATTCCTTCAAAACTTATCCAGCCTGAATTCCGTAAAGTCTTTAAGAGAAGCACTACCTGGCTCTACTAATTCCTGTGAAAGTACCATAACTTCTAATCCTTCCTCTGTTCTTTCTTCTTGGTTACAGAGCATTCACATGTATTTTTCTGCACAATATTCCTGGGATATATATTGTTGCTCTTAATTTTTTAGTTATGCTTTTAACTATAGACCTGTCGTGTTTTGTACACATTGAATATCTTGTAAATTTTCACCAAATTAATTTTTTTGGAAAGTTTTGGTTTTTTTTTTTTTTGAAGCAAAAAGGTTTTATAAATGCAATATATTTTGCTTTAAGCATCTCAGTGGGAGAAACCTGAAGGATTTCAAGGAAACTTAAAAAAGGTAACTGAAGCACACTAATAGTGTCTTTGCTTTATTCTTTAAAGTGATTGGCTTCTGGGGTTTTTGTAGAGTTTTGTTAAGCAAATTTACTTCCAAGTAAGCCCCCCCCACACACTTGGTTCCTTCCTATAATTCTTTTGCTAACAAAAGGCTGGGTGGAGGTAAAAGAGTAATGTCTACCCAAAAATTCCATGCAGGCCAAATGTTAGTTGGTTTGCATTCAGTTGCCATTCACATGTCCCTGTCCCCATCTGCAAAGAATTGTGCCTGGCTTCAGAGGTGAGACATTCTCTCCCTGAAAGCTGGCTCATGATTAACACAAACCAAGCTTCCTGGCCATGATCAGTACTATCACCCCTAACTCCCAGGTGTCAAGAGAAAAGGATAGGGTGGCTGATTCTGCCTTAGTTATCTAATATATAAGCACGTCATTATCTTCAGTTTTTGCTGTTTTTTTCCTCCCCTTAGACAACAGTGAAGACTGTTTGGGTAGAAGGTTTAAGTGAAGATGGTTATACCTATTATTACAATACAGAAACAGGAGGTAAGCATTACTTTTGATTACCTTAACTATCTAAAATTGTACCTGAAACTGCTTATTATCCTTTGGATGAATCATCTAACTAACAAATTTTAGTATAGTGATAAACATATTTGTATACCAAGCATGTGTTATTTTTTGTAATTTAAAAACATTAATACAATGGAAAAGCAAAAAGATTTTCATATATAATATACTGTGCTGCTCATTGTTCTCAGTTGATACTGTATTCACAAATTTTAAAATCATTTTTACTTTGTCTAACATTACTGCTTTTTGTCACAATTATTTTAGAAATAGAATCATTACCTTGGAAGATATGTTAGAAATCACCTAATTCAAGTTGCCTTTTCCTTTTTTAAAAAACAAAACTGAAGCTATTTTAGCAGTGGCTGAGATTATCAAATTTTCACTTTGTTTTAGTTACATAAATATTTATGAAACACGCATAATTATTGTTACCTAGTTACTATTCAAGTTTTTCAAATTAAGATTTTATCTAATTTAATTTCATAAAACTGATCTTCAAGTACTTGGTTTCTACTGCAGTTAAATTTACCAGAATAGCTAAAATATTGGTGTAACTTTGGGAGGGTTTTTTTTTTTAAATTCCTACTGTCCAAAGCCCTCTACATAGTATTAAATCTTTTAGAGGGAAAAGGCCCTTGTAACCTCTAAGTAGATACCTAGCCTACCCAATGATATAATGCAATGGTTCTACCTTAGAAAAATTGTGGTACTGAACGTTTATAGAGATAAAATATAATGTAGTAGTATGATAGAGCTCTAGAGTTAGATCTGAGCTCAACACACAGCTTCTTCCCCTACCAGCTATATATTGTGGGCAAGTCACTGAGCCTATAGTTGCTCTTAAGTAAAATAGAAATAATCATCGGTACTCTGTGGGGTCTATAAAGTTCCCAGAACAGTGCCTAATACATAGTGGATGCTTAATAAATTATTTATTGCTGCAAGTTCTTTTGTTAATTGTATGAAATATAGTTAAGGAAATAATGTTTTTTATTAGTGCTGGAAAGTAACCTATATTAATAAGGGACTATACATACTGATTTGCCCTCAACAGTTTTGGTTTGTGTCTGGACCAGTGTAATTATTAACAGAGCCCCTTCCACTCTTATAACTGTCCTAGTTGGACAATAATTTTTAGAATCCTGTTCCCTTTTGTTAAACTGAAAATAGAGAATAACTTCAAGATAAATAGAAATGCCTAATAAACCACCAGGTGGCAGTAGAGTTCACTCGAGTTTTTTCCCTCTAGTATAAAAATGACAAATTATATTCATTCAGATCTTCACAGTATGATTTCACTTTGTGAGGATCGCAGGAAATATTTGTGATAAAAAATTCCAGGAAATCTGATGTGTGCTGACTATCACATTTCCTGAAATTGCTGTCAGGTAAATTGTGAGAGTCTTTAGAAAGTGGTGCCCAGTTCTTTAGTCTCTTTCCACTGGGGCTATAGTTTATACACCTAATCCAGATTGTTTGAAATTAATTTCTGAGAGATAAGAGAGCAAGAGCTTTGGGAACTCTTATTTATTGTCTTCTTGATCAAGGGGTGGTGTGAAATAGATGCAATGTTGTCATTTAATAATACATTGTCAGTGACGGAAAGCATTAGGAATTACTTCTGAATAGAATTGGTAACTAAATAACATGACTATTAAAATGTGTTAAATAGAATCCACATGGGAAAAACCTGATGATTTCATTCCACACTCTGGCGATCTGCTTTCTAGTAAGGTCAATGAAAAGTCACTTGGCACCCTAGAAGAGTCCAAATCATCAGATTCGCATAGTGATTCTGATGGGGAACAGAAAGCAGAAAAAGCAGAGGTCTCTACAGAAACACAAAAGCCAAAGATAAAGTTTAAGGTAGGTTCTTGATTTATTTTTTACAAAAGTTTATCAGTTTATAAAAAGCTCTACAGACGTCTTCACTTTTATGGTAGAAGATAGAAATAAAGCCAAGACACATATTTTGGCAACTGGATAAATGGCTATAGCATTTATTAACATCTATTTGGTAGCAAGACAGATCATTTTTAGACTCCTAAGTTTGAGATGCCTCTGTAACATTCAGAAAGCTGTCCGAACATGCCATGTCTGAATATCTAGGCTAGAAATGCTAATTTGAGTATCCTCAGCATACTGGTAGTAACTTAAATCTCAGAATGGATGAAGCAACCTAGGAAAATGACCTTGGGGAACATTAAACATTTAAGTGGCAGGCAGAGAAAGAGGAGCCCACAAGGTAGAATGAGGAAAGAGTGGTTAGAAAGGTATGCAGAGAAGTAGAAGAATTCAGTATTCCAGAAGCCAAAGGAGTAGAGAGCATCAAGGGTTAATTAGGTCTAGAAAAAGAAAAATGTCCACTGAATTTTGCTGGAAGAAAGACCTTGATGCCCTTCTAGTGATTTCACCAGAGTTTTGGATAGCAGAACTCAAATTACAGAGGGATGGAAAGTAGTTCACAATGTATATGTGGTTTGGATATGAAATGAAAAGTAGAAATTAGATGATATGATGGTGGCTGTGTATTGACTCTTAATTATGAGAGATTTGTGGTGGTGGTGTTTTCCTTGAGAGGGACTCCAAAGGAGGTAGATAGGGAATACCAAAAAAAGGTAGGGGATTGGTTGGTCTTGAACAAGAAATAAGCTCATTTTTTGTATGAAGGTAAAGTTTTCATTTTCTAAAAGAAGGTATGACTGTGGATGAGTTGGTATCAGGGAGGAAATTGAAAGAGTCATCCCTTTTAACCTCAATTTATTCGTTAATAAAGAAATCAAGATTGCTTACTAAAGAGCTTGGGGACCTTGACAACATTAATAAATTGAAATAGTCACTAAACTGGGTGGGAGAGGAAATGAACCAAGTAAGAGGATTGCCAGGTGGGTGCTGAATGCCTAGCCATGGCAGGAAAGTAAAAACACACTTTTATAGTATTACTAGTCCTCCTGCTTTTGTCACCTCTCCAGAAACACTCAGGACCCCAGGTGCCAAAGCAAAGAAGACATGTAGCATTGATCCATGGTTGAGATTACTGGCCTGAGAGGTGAAGGATAATCAAGGATGCTGGAGAAGAGGGTACTTCCAGGCCACATCTAGGATCTTGTCATTGCCTGGAATTTCTCTACCTACCTCATAAATCTTGGTGGAACTTAGGGTGAGGGATGTATTCAGTTTGTAGAGAAGCAGCAGCAAAACCCTTGTTGAGGTAGCCATCTCACCATGTTCATAGTCAAATTTAGGTAACCCAGCATCCAACTTGGGACAGATACTTTTTAATTTCAAGCAAACAAAATATTAGAAAATACAAATAAACAAGGGCAAACTACCTATAATGCTGTCGCTTCCCAGAAAAATCACTATAATATGTTGGTGTTTATTGGTCTATAATTTTTTTCTAAATTCAGACATGTACGTTATTTTAAACAAAATACGGAGTGATACTGTAATAAAGTTTTATTATTTTTCAATTGAATCTATCACAAAGACTTCAGTAAGTCTTCATCTACCAAAATGTTGGATAGTATTCCATGGTATGAATATACCATTATTTATTCAGCCCTCTGTTGCTGAATATTTGTTTTTAATAACCACTAAGGAGAAGAAATAACTGGAGACACAGTACTAAACAGTGTTAAAGTCTCCACTGAAATTGGATATTGTAAATTTTGAAGTCAACACTTGACAGACCAGTGATTGGTTAGGTCTGTGTTGGAGGTTTTTAGGTCCTATGTAATAGGCTGGTGTAGGGACAAAGGTATTTAAGGGTGCTGGCAAAAGAATGTTTATAAGGTGATTCCCTGTGGGGTTGGGGCTCTGTAATGAAGGATGTAAAGTTTAGATGAGATCAACAAACTCAGACACTAGGAGAAGTTAAGGTATTAAAGATAGTAATGAGGTCAGACAGGAGGTATAGTAGAAGAAAGGGAGTGAGGAAGCCAAAAGAATAACTTTCTGTTGTCAGAGAGTGGGCTTTTGCAGTTTAAAATTTCACAAGTGGGACATTGTCAAGTGACAACCTAGTTCACGTTAAAAGGAATGTAGATGTGAGGATTTAATTTTTGAATACTACTTATGCCCCAGGTGCTATATATGAGGAAAAATATATAACACTAGGTGGCTGCAATGTAGTGAAAGCCAAAGTCATTGGTTTTGAGGCTCACAAAACTGAGGATAGGGAATCTTTAAGTTGTAGGATAACAAGAGTTTGAATAGAGAGAACATGATGCCAGAGTTGCCAGTATCATCAGTGAATATGGAGTAGTCACCAGAGGTCATTAGGTCATGTAAAGAATGGAAGAGAACTGTATAGAAGGTGGTAGGAGCCTCAGAGGAGGAAGCATTTATCGCATGAGGATCAAAGCATAAATTATCATGACCTCAGTAAAAATGTTTTATTAAAAAAGTCATGGCCTGGAAGCAGTCAAGATCGCTAAAAGAAAGCAGACCCTGCCTCCTAGTCCTATGATATCAGTAGCATGAGGGAATGAGTTAATATCCATCCAAAGAATTACCACCCATGGCTGCCACCCATGGCTGTCTAGTTTGCAAAGGAGCTGAAATCTAGAGCATAGTCTCCTTGCTAAACTAGGTCACAGGGCTTTGTTATCCCAGATTAAGGGGTGCCATGAAAGTACCAGCGCTAGCCAGGGGCTCCCGTGGGAACTGCTGCTTCCTCAAGGGTGTCTTTTTCTAATTTCACATAGTTACCCGTTGTATATTCTAGTGAGGCTCTGACAGTGTCTTCAATGTGAAGACAGATTTCAGTTAAGACTAATAGGGCGAGGGGCCAGCCCCATGGCCGAGTGGTTGAGTTCACACACTCTGCTTCAGCGGCCCAGGGTTTCGCCAGTTCGGATCCTGGGCACGGACATGGCAATGCTCATCAGGCCATGCTGAGGTGGGATCCCACATGCCACAACTAGAAGGACCCACAACTAAAAATACACAACTATGTACCGGGGGGCTTTGGGGAGAAAAAGGAAAAATAAAATCTTTAAAAATAAAAAAGGACTAATAGGGCAAGAGAGTTCTTTAAGTAGATAATTAGTGTAGAAGGGTCTAAAAACGTGGCATTAAATGCAAAAGGGGCAGACAGTAAAGGGAGGTCACTGTTGGATGTGCAAGTAAGGAGAGAAAGCAGAAAAGTGGAGAAGAGAGGATAAAAAAGACCAATTGTAGAACATTAATAGGATCACGTTATATTATTTTAAAAAGCAGGCTTGGCCATGGTGTGTTAACATTTTAGACTTGATGAAAAACCTAATGAACCATTAAATTTCTTTTATGTACATTTGTTGTGTTATGTGCAAATTTAAACTACGCGGGTTAATGTATTACTATTTATTAATCAATAACAAGGCTACGTTAAAGCAATTTGTTTTTGTCCTCATAGTTTTGCTTGAAGTGTGTTATTTCTTGACTTTGACATTTCAGGAAAAAAATAAAAACAATGATAAAGGAACTGAACCAGAAACACAGAAAGAAAAAAATACCCAGGAGCAGAATTCATCAGGTCCAAATGCAGAAAAACCCAAAACTCATAAAAAATCAAACCCATATGGAGAATGGCAAGAAATTAAACAAGAAGTTGAGTCTCAGTAAGTACCTGAAACTTAATCCCACTGTCATTAGAAATACTTTCCATCCCAGTACTTCCATGAATTGCAGTAACTAATTTCAAGGATAAGGGGTTCATTAAAAATATAGCTCATTTCTTTTATTTCTAGAGTGGTTTTATTTTTTCTAATTAAGTATTTTAAAATAGAAGCTAATGGTTATTTTAAAAAATAAGCTAATGATTGTTTTAATTCCTACCAAACCATGACCACGCACTGACCATGCATTCACACACTGACTCACACTGTGTACACATGAGCATTCTCACACTCACCATCATTATTCTATCAGAGAAACAAATATCTGCATATTCAATTTTATTATTGTGTAGTTCAGGTTGTGTTTATGTTACTTAGTGAAATACTAGGAAATGTGTATTTAATGCCCATGAGAAGCATATTGACTCTTTGTATATATTGAAGTCGCAGAAATAATAGACTGCATTACTTCAGCCACTAAGTGATTTAAGTGACTTAAAACAGGAAAATGGTCCTACTACACAAACATCTCCTATACTTCGAAGTTGAGAGTTCTTAAAATTTATTTTGAGTATTTTGTTTTCCTTGTGATAAGTATACTGTAAAGCCATTCTTGTTAAATTTTAACCTAGTCAGCCAGTTTAATATTTGATGGATTGTGTGTGACTTTCTAAGTAAATTAGCCTAATTTCTTAAGGGGGTTTTCCCCTAAAAATAAACAGTATATATTATTATAGGAAATTTTTGAAAATGAAGAAAAGCATATGAATAATTCATTGAGCTACCCAGAAATGATACTAACATTCTGAAATATTTTCCTCAGTTATCTTTTTCCCTATTTAGCATTATTAATATTTTATATTTTGTTAAAATGTTATAAATGTTATTTTTAATTGCTGTATAATATTTAATCATTTAGATGTGCCTTGATTTTCCTCAGCCATTCTCTTTCTGTTGGACATTTAGGTTATTTCCACACTTTTTGTTTTTATAACAAACTCTATTATATGGATATATTATTCTCTGCACATTTCTGACTATTCCTAGAAATGGAATACCTGTTTAAAGGTTATGAAATTTTGAAAATCTTGATACACAGTGTCCAATTACTTTCCAGAAAGAGCCTACCAATTTATATTCCATCAGCGGTTTTGGAAAGTTCCTGTTCCATTGAACCCTCTCAGCATTAATTATTCCTGAACTTTTAAATATTTCCTAGTTTGACAAAAAATATCTCATTTTAATTTTCTTTTCTTTGATTTACTGGTGAGGTTAAAATTTTTTTCATATACGTAGTGTTTTGTATTTACTCTTCTGTGAATTGTCGTTCATGGTCTTTGCACTTTTTCCTATTAAGGTAATTGTCTTCCTTATATAGTACAGATCCTAACCATTTATTAGTAGTAGTAATGGTGGATTTTCCACATTTGTAATTTGACTTTCAGTTGTGCTTATAATGGTTTTAGATGTGTAGAGTTTTGTAATGTTTAACTAGTCTCATCTCTTACTTTTCTTTGTGATCTGTTTTATTGATGATATCATTTTCTATCCAAAAGTCAAATATATACTTGTATTTCCTTCTGGTTTGTCTAGTCTTAACTTTGTTTTCATGTAATTTAATCCATCCCTAATTATTTTGATGCACCATATGAGATGAGATTCTAAATTAATTTTTTATCCTACCTGGCCAAACCATATTACCAATACCTTTCTTTCTCATTTTTAGGTATTGTTCTTTCCCCCATTTTTAAGTGACACTGTCTTTTTTATCTGGTGTGTAATTCTCAAGTTTACCAGTTTGTTTCTGGCTACCTATTCTGTTCCGTTGTTCTATTTGTGCTTGTGAAGTACAATAAAGATTTAACTATTGTGATTTAATTATATACTTTTTATGGTATGCTGTGATATCCAGCGGTGTATCCATATATTATTTTTCCTTTTCAAAATTTTCTGAAGCAGTTCCTTCCCATTTTTTCCCCCAGGTAAATTAAATCATTTTGCAGGTGTTCAACAGGTATAATATAATTTTAATCAAAATGATTGAAATTATATTTTACTTGTTGAATTTGGCAAAAATTCACATTTTCAGTATTTATTTTCATCCAAAAATGTTATATGTCTCTCTTTTTACTCAAGTTGTCTTGTATCCTCTACAGTTTTTGTAGCTGCCTCTGTGCAAGTCTCACACTTGCAGTTCTTGAGTATAAGCTAGCTTGAGTGCAGCCACTTAGTCTAGTTGGTTCACTTCTGTAACCCCAGAACTAAAAACAGTGCCTGGCACATATTAGGTGCTTAGTAAGTATTTATTAGGTACATGAATAAATTTTTACATATTTTGCTTTTTTTTAATTGTGGATTTCATACACTTTTTCTATTATTTCTTTAGCCAGTAATTATGGTGTGAAAAAGCCTATGTGTCCAGTTGTGTTGCTGAATTAATTTATTATTTATAAGACTTACTCTTTTGAGTCTTGAGTTTTCCATGTAGACACTTGTCTGCAAATACTGTGATTTTTTTTTTCTGTGGACTTTACCTCCTATTTATTTCATGTCCTATTTTAGTTAGATTTTCAAACATGGTGTTATATAATAATGATGAGAATGGGCATTTGTGTTTTGTTGCTGAATTCACTGGAAAAGTCTCTAAAATTTATATTGAAGATGATATTGACTGTTGGCTTAAGATAGATAATCTTTATTATGTTAAGGAAGTGTGCTTTAGATTCTTCAAGGATTGTTATGAGAAATAGATTTTGGTAAATTTCAATAGTCATAGCTTTGATGTGGAAAGCAGGTTGGGAAATGGTGGTCTGTAGTTTAGTTTTTGTTTGTTACATGTGATATCTTTATTAGATTTTGGTATCCAACTTAATGCTAAATAAAATTAATTTGGTAGCATTTAACATTTTTTAACGTTCTATAATAGTTAATAGTTTCTCTGAGATTAGAAAGTTTAAAAGAAATCACTAGTAAAATCTTCTGGTCTAGGTGGAGGTAATTTTTGGTAACTGTTAGTCTCTTGGTTACTATCTATGTGACTTTGAGCAAGTTGCCTAATCTACCTGAGGCTCAGCTTCTTCATCTTTGTAAAATGGGATGACAATAGTTTCTACCTAAGTTCTGATTTTTTTGTGGGGAATAAATTAGAAAAAACAAATGAACACATTTAGCACCATGTATGCACTCGGTACCTAGAACACTTCAGCATTGGTGTTATTACATGCTGCAGCTGCTGTCCTTGGGGTAAGGAGTGAGGTGGTCACTTTAGTTACTTATTCTGGAGTACTAGTCAGTTTCAGTAATTTATATTTTTCCCAAAAAATCTTTTATTTCATCAAGAGTTTAAAATTTTAAACATTTGGTAATACATTAACCTTTCTGTATATTTATATTTTTCAAATGTTAAATCCTCTTTTTAAATTTTTATATTTTTTCCCTCTTATGTAATATTTGCTAAAGAATTTTTTTCCAGCTTGAGATATAATTGACATATAATATTGTAAGTTTAAGGTGTACAGTGTATTGATTTGAACAATTATAAATTGCAAAATGATTACCCCTATAGCTTTAGCTAATACCTCCATCATGTCACATAATTACCATTTTGTGTGCGTGTGTGTGGTTAGAACATTTAAGATCTAGTCTCTTAACAGTTTGAAGTATATAATATAGTATTGTTAAATATAATCACCATGCTGTACGTTAGATCACCAAAACTGTTAATCTTATAATTGGAAGTTTGTACCCTTTGACCAGTCTCCCCATTTCCCCCAGCACTCAGACCCTGGTAACCACCACTATGCACTCTTTCTGTAAGTTTGGATTTTTTTGATTTGACATATAAAAGATACATTTGTCTTTCTCTGTCTCATTTATTTCAGTTAGCATAATGCCCTCAAGATTAATCCATGTTGTTGCAAATGGCAGCTTTCTGTCGTTCTCATGGTTAAATAATAATTCATTGTAGATATATATATATATACCACATCTTCTTTATCCATTCATCTGTTGATGGACAATTGGGTTATTTCATATCTGGACTATTGTGAACAATGCTGCAATGATTGTGGGAGTGCATTTATTGCTTCAGGATCCCATTTTCATATCCTTTGGATATATATCCAGAAGTGGGATTGTTGAACCATATGGTAGTTCTATTTTTAATATTCGAGGAACCTCCATACTGTTTCCCGTAGCGGCTATACCAATTTACATTCCCACCAACAGTGCTGAAGCTTTTCTTCACATCCTTGTCAACACTTGTTATCTCTTGTCTTTTTACATCCTAACAGGTGTGAGGTGATAACTCATTGTGGTTTTGATTTGCATTTCCCTGATGATTAGTGATGTCAAGCACCTTTTCATGTACCTGTTGGCCATTTGTGTGTCTTATTTGGAAAAAAGTCTATTCAGTTCCTCTGCCCATTTTTTTAATTGTATTTTTTGGATTTTGCTGTTGAGTTGTATGAGTTCTTTATGTATTTTGGATATTAACCCCTTATCAGATAGATGATTTAGAGATGCTTTCTCCCATTTTGTAGGTTGCCTTTTCATTTTGTTGATTATTTCTTTTGCTGGCGAGAAACTTTTTAGTTTGATGTAGTCCCACTTGTTGATTTTTGCTTTTGTTGACCATGCTTTTGGTATCATATCCAAAAAATAATTGCCGAGACCAATGTCAGGGAGCTTTTTCCCTGTTTTCTTCTAGTTTTATGGGTTTATTTCTTATATTTAAGTCTGTAATCAATTTTGAGTTAATTTTTGTGGTGGTGTAAGATAGGGGTGCAATAGCATTCTTCTGCATGTCGTTATCCACTTTTAACAGCAGTTATTGAAGAGATTATACATTCTCTATTGAATATTCTTGGCTCCTTTGTCAAATTTTAGTTGACTCTCTATGTGAAGATTTATTTCTTGAGATCTTGATTCTTTCCCATTCGTCTCTGTGTCCATTTTTTGTGCGAGTATCATACTGTTTTGATTATTATAGTTTTGTAGGCTAGTTTGAAATCAGAAAGTGTGATGCTTCCAGCTTTGTTCTTCTTTCTCAGGATTGTTTTGGCTATTTGGCGTCTTTTGTGGCTCCATACAAATTAGAGGATTGTTTTGTCTTTTTCTGTGAAAAATGCCATTCGAATTTTGATTGGGATAGCATTGAATCTATAGATGGCTTTGAGTAGTGTGGACATTTTAACAATATTAATTCATCTAATCCACAAATGCAGGATATCTTTCCTTTTGTTGTCTTCTTCAATTTCTTTCATCATTGTCTTATAGTTTTCAGTGTATATACCTTTCACCTCCTTAGTTAAATTTATCACTAAGTATTTTATTGTTTATGATGCTATTATTAATGGGATTGTTTTCTTTCTTTTTCATATTTTCTATTGTTAGTTTATACAAACACAACTGATTTCCTTGTGTTGATTTTGTGTCATGATACCTTACTAAATTCGTTGATTAGTTCTAATTGTTTTTGATGGAGTCTTTGGGGTTTTCTATATATAAGATCATATCATCTGCAAACAGAGACAGTTTTACTTCTTCCCTTCCAATTTGGATGCCTTTTTTTTTCCCCTTGCCTGATTGCTCTGGCTAGGACTTCCAGTACTGTGTTAAATAGAAGTGGTGAGATTGGGTACCCTTGTCTTGTTCCTGATCTTAGAGGAAAAGCTTTCAATCTTTCACCACTGAGTATGATGTTGGCTGTGGGTTTGTCATATATGACCTTTGTGATGTTGAGATATTTCCTTCTATACCCAATTAATTGAGTGTTTTTTTTTTATCATGAAAGGATGTTGTATTTTGTCAAATGGTTTTTCTGCATCTGTTGAAATGATAATGTGATTTTTATCTTTCATTCCATTAATGTGGTATATCACAGTTGATTGCGAATGTTGAACCATCCTTGCATCCCAAGCATAAATCCACTTGGTCATGGTGTATGATTCTTTTAATGTGCTATTGAATTCAGTTTGCTAATATTTTGTTGAGAATTTTTGTATCTATATTCCTCAGGGATATTGGTCTGTAGTGGGGTTTTTTTCTTGTAGTATCCTTACCTGGCTTTGTTACCAGGGAAATGCTGGCCTCCTGTAATGAGTTTGGGAATGATCCCTTCTCTTCAGTTTTTTGGAAGAGTTTGAGAGGAATTAGTGTTAATTCTTCTTTAAGTGTTTGGTAGAATTCACCAGTGAAACCATCTGGTCTGGGCTTTTTTGTGTTGGGAAGTTTTTGATTACTGGTTCAATATCCTTACTTGTTATTGGTCTGTTCAGATTTTCTGTTTCATCATGATTCAGTCTTGATAGGTTGTATGTTTCTAGGAATGTATCCACTTATTATTGGATTTTCTCTTTATTCACTTCTACTTTATTTTTATAATTTTATTTTCCTAAGTGTTTTTAAGTTTCTTTGTTTTTCTTCTTTCTTCAGATGAACACTTAGACTGTTGACAAGAGGTGAGGAAGGGGTCCATTCTTAATGAAAATAGTTTAAGCTATTTTGTGTCTAAATATAGTTCTGCTCATATATTGCATAAACTTTGAATGAAGGTTCTTTGATTTCATTGTTTTTGGAACAGTTCAATATTGTGTTTTTGGTTACTTTTTGACTTGGTGGTTTTCCAGAGAGTGTTTAATTTAAATCTTCACAGGGGTGGGAGGTTTTTTTGGGGTTTTTTTTCTGCCTTTATTACACTGTGTTCAGATATTACGACCTTTATAGTTTTTGCATTTTGAATTTGGAAATGATCATGATTTTTGTGGAAATGCTTATATAATTATTTTTTGTAACTGTTCCAAAGTTATTTGAAAAGAAGGCACATTGTCTGTAATATAGTTTACCTGCAGGCCCTTGCCTTTTCCTTCAAATACAAACTTCTTTTCTCTTCTGATTATGTCTCCAGGATGTGTCCTAGTACACTGCCACTTCTGTTAACCTCCACTTAGGAACTTCCTGGGATTATGATTTCAAAAATGGAACCCTTCTCTGTTTTATCTCTCCAGTAATCCCACTTAATAGTATGGCTTGATCACTTTATCAAAATACAACACAAAGCACCAAGATTCAGTGAAATAAATGAGTTTAACATCAAATTTTCTTGGACACAAATTCATTTGTCCAGCGACCAAACCCTGCGACTCTTCATTACTCAAATCTTTCTCTGTTTGATTAATGGAATTTCTTAGTTTCACCTGGAAACAGAGTGGTCTAGGGGAAAGAATATAGATTTTAGGTCAGACAGGCCTGGGTTTTAATTCACACTCTGCTACTCACCTAACAGTTTGGTTGACCAAATTATTAACCTCTCTTTAAGTTTCAGTTTCCTCTCCTGTAAAAAAAAAATAAAAAACTAAGAATGAATACCCCATCAACATCAGGGGCTACTAGCCTTCTTAGAAAGCACCATTGTTGATAGCCCAAGGGAAAATAGGGAAGTAGAAAAAGCAAGCAAAAATAGCATTTAATATATATTTTTGTTTTGAAAGGCATCTGTTTTCAAAACAAATCAGATTTAAGACCTCTTCCAGTGAGAATCCCTATTTCCTGCATCCCCTCATTAGAGTTTGAGGAAGTGTTAGATAGCGTCGTGATCTACTAAGATAGCTTCTTACTTAAGTTTTGTATTATGCAGAATAGGGGTTTTTTTTAGTTGTAAACTAGCCATTACTGGTTTGAAATTTTATCTTTTTATTTATATTCTCCTTCTGTTCTTTGCACTGTTAGCAAATTTCATAACCATTCTTACGTTTAAAAAAAATTACTAAAATGCCTAGAGACCTGTTTTTTTAAACCTGTGTTTTTATCCAGGTATGTATAGGATGGGACATAAAAGATCTCTCAATACTATCACCATTGGCCTTTCTACATAATCATTATGAGAGGGAAGCAAATTTGTTCTTGTGTACTTTTAAGATAATTGAACCGAATAGCATTAATTAAATTTTAAGTCTTAGCAAACACATTTCTAAATTGCACACATTATCTCTAAATTGCAGTTATCAAGAACCATAGTTGATGGGACATCACTATTCTTGCCTTGCTGGTTTTGTTTGAGAAGTATATATAATCCATTCCAGTGCTCTTTTCATTGCAAATCACGGAAATTCTGGTGTGTTTAGGGGTGTAGTGGCCTCAAGCCTAGCTGGAACTTTGGGGCTTGAATAAAATCATCGGGCCATTATGTCCGTCTCTGACTTTTGTCTCTGCTTTCCTCTCCTTTCTCAAGGAGGCTTTCCCCACCTGGTGGCAAAGCTTTAGGCTAATATCATACTTACAGTTAGAGATCCCAGCAAAAAGAGGGTGCTCCTTTACCAGTTCCAAAACTGGTCTTGCTTAATTTTCAATCCCAAACCTCGTTCCCATTCCTGAGCTAACCATTATGAATTCTGAGTGGACATGAACTGAACTCAAAACTCACGGACAGAGAAGGGAGAAGAGGTGGTTCCCAAAAGGGAAAAAAAATAAAAGTTCTAGTGCCAAAAAAGACATTAGAAGAGCAAAAATAAAATTAGAAGAGATTTCTACTCCAAGTGCTTTGTGCATCATCTGGCACATAGTAGATATTTGGTATAGCTATTACTATATAAGGACTACTACTCTAGATTTACCATAGCCTTCCAAACTTCTCCTGACCTCCACCAAAGGTTTTCTCTGTTTCCCAGAATCAAACTGAATGACTCCATCACCTGTGTTGTTCTCGGGATTGAGGAGTGTAGGTCTGCACTAATCTTCCCTCTTCTTAGATGGGGTTTCTCAACTCTTGATATCTGGGACTTCTAACATTTAAACCATTCCTTTACTTTTTATTCCCTTTTCTCTCCTTTCATCACTCTTCTTTCATGCTAACCAGGTAATCTTTTGGTTTAAATGATAGAAACTTGAGTTACCTTAAATAAAAAAGAAGTTATTTCTCCGAAGATGCCCAGGAAGGTTCTACCCAGCAAGCTGTGGGAGGGGCAGGAATTGGGTTGGGCCTCAGGAAATAGTGGAATCAAGCCTGAAATGTTGGCAGGAGTCTCCATCTCCCATCCCTCTTTTTCTCTGCATGCCGGCTTTATCTCTGCAGAACTCTTTTCTCTATATGGGAGGATATGTGGTTCCCAACAGATTTTATACTCTTAGCTACTAGAGAGTTAAACATAATGGTTTAACTCTTTCTGGTCCATGTTTAAGAAGCTCATGGGTGGGACTGATGGGTGTGGTGTGACTTACTTGCTCTTTCATGGTCCAGTTGACTATGTAGAGGGTAGGGTACTGTGATAGGCTCATGTTAATCAGATACTGATCTCTGGATTAGTCAACTGATTATTTCTACTAACCGTGTGGATGGTTGAAGGACTAGTTCCTAGAAAAGAAGTGCTAGGCAAAGAGCCGCATGGAGTCTGCTGCACTAGGACATTGAGATTCCATGGTTTTCATCTTGTGCTGTGTAGGCCGCCAGAGTCCTTGTCAGTCTACAGCAAAATCAGTTTCCGTAAATACGTCTCCCATATCCACCCATGTAACTTGTACTGCTGATCATATATAAGCACAAGCGTTTCCTTAGATGATATATACCTTTTGTGCAACAGGAATAAAATAATAGATTTTCCTGACATATGTCCACCTAAATAAGTACTCAGTATCTTAACTACTACTATAAAATGAGTGCTTTAAAATGGTTTCCTATTCCAAAATAACCAACTTCTATCTTCTATTATTATCATTAAATCTTGGGCTTTGCTGGCCTCACAGGTCATGTGAAAGTTTGTATTACTCTGTCAAATAATGGTTTTATTTTTACTTTCTGTTCCAGTGAGGAGGTAGATTTGGAACTTCCAAGCACTGAAAATGAATATGTATCAACTTCAGAAGCTGATGTTGGTGGGGAACCCAAAGTGGTATTTAAAGAAAAAACAGTCACTTCTCTTGGAGTCATGGCAGATGGAGTGGCCCCAGTCTTCAAAAAGAGAAGAATTGAAAATGGAAAATCTAGAAATTTAAGGCAACGAGGTGATGATCAATAATTGTGAAAGAGCTTTTTGTACGTGCTTTTTGAACAGAATGGAGCTATATATCTTAAAGCTCCTCTGTGTTTGTTTCTAAGTACTTTGATGCTAAAAATTTAGATTTATTCTAAATGTATTTTATGTGAATTTAAAATAAATCTTTTTTCATGTGAAATTTATTTTTGTTCCTAAAATGGAAGCCTACCACATTGCATTGTAATACAGTGTATTGTGTTCAGTGTCTAAAAATTGCTAATTATGTCGTAACATAAGATGCTATGTATCTGTTATTTAAAACATGGAAAAGCAAGGCCTTTATTTGATTCTTATTCATATAAACATACATACTTACCCTGCACTGAAAATGCATTACTTTTGCATACTGGTATATTAACTGTTATCCAAGAAATAAGAATCAGACTACATAAAAGAAGATTGACAGCCCAGTGATGATTCAGTTCTGAGGATCTTGTCAGAAGGCTGATGTAGAAAGTGTATGTGTATTGGCTTACCTTACTCAATTCAAGGTCAAGGGCCAAGAACCAGGCCAGCAGCTCAGGTACTTCAGATGTAGTGCTTAACATGGAGTGAAATCAGACCAAAGGTATAAATGCTTATTTGCCCAGTTCAGTTCAAAGCAACAACCATTGCTTAAGCATTGTTACTTTGAGCTAGGCATTATGCTAGGAACTGGGGATATAAAGATGAATAAGACATATCCCTCTTCTTCATGACTTCACATTCTAGCATAGTCCTTTTTCCCCTAGTCGTGCACCCTGGTTAGCACCCTTTTATGTACTGGAAATTAATTTTTAAGGTTTATTTAAAGCTCTGTAGGTGAAGGCTTCAACAAAAATAGTAAAGTCTCTGGCTTCAGTAAAAATTGTTAGTATTACCTTAGACAAATTGGAAATTTCCCATTTTCTGGTTAAATTTCTTAAAAAGTGGAATTTTCTTATTTAATTCATTTGAAGTAGGTACCTTCCCTTTATTACTTCAAATTCTTAAAATTACATTTTTTATAAATCGTACAGTATTTAACATTTGGTAGTACATATTTGTCTTTTAAAGTTACTACTGTACAAGTAAGAAAATGGTAGCTTATTAAAAACTATGAAAGACTAAATTAAATATTAGGTTTTTTCTTTCTTCCGATACTGATCAGAGTCAACTTAGCATTGGTGAGAGAGTATTTGAAGAGTTGTCTCATATTCAGTCTACTTCTTTGGGTATGTCATGGATGTATAGCATTATGGAGAAGTATTTTAGATTCTCAATAGCCAATTTGTCATCTAGCTAAGCAGTGCATTTTGGTGCTTAATTCTCCTCAATTGGAAAAGATAAGACTGTAAATGGAATGCTGCTATATTTTACCCAAATTTAGCTTGTACAGAATACATAATTGACATTTTTAAAACCACACCTCATTATGTAAAGTGCTTCTCTTTGATGCATTTTTTAAAGTATCTCCTTTACCTTTGTAATAAGACAGTATTCTCAGAAGTTTGCAGGTGCATCTCCTTGAACTGAAACTGGTTTTAAGGAGTGCTCAGAAAAGACTCTTGGCAAACACAAAAATTTTCTATCAAATTGTAAAAAATAGTACTTTCCTCTTTGCTTTGAAAGATTAAGTAGAGAACATACCAGCTTTAACTGAATTTTTTCAGAAGTTAAATATTTCATATCACTTCTGCCATTACCTTTCTATCATATGTATTTTTATATATGTGCAGGTAGGAGACTATAAAAATAATAGATTTTTATTATAAGTTTAAAGCCCAAATAATAGAGAAATAAGTAAAAAAATAAAAATTTCAATAATCTCAGACTCCTCCCCCATGACCACTGTGGGGGTTTTTTCCTAAGCATGTTAACATTGGGTATATGTGGGTAACCCTTATGATACCTGGCTCCATGATGTCCACTCTCTGGATGAAATTTATTCAAAGAAGCATGGTCCAAACAGCCAAAAGTAGTTTTTGTTTTTTAATGTAGTTTTTATAAATTCTGAAAACTACTGGGGGAATAACCCTGCCAGATTTTTAGGTATTGAAAAACTATAACAATTAGTATGGTACTTGCTCACATATAGGCACATCATATATAAACTAGAATTTGTTTCTGATTGTTGTACCTGTATCACACTGATTTCATCATTGTGTTTTTATAGTATGTTTTTTAACATCTGGTAGAGCAGAGATCCTCATATCTTTCAAAATGTTCATATTTATTCATTATTTCAAGTAACGTTTTGTCAAGTTGCCACGTCTGCTTTCCCAAAAAAACTGATTTCGTACCACACCTACCAAGTTGGTAATAATTGCTACCTTCCTAAGATTGATTATTCTCATCTGTCAACATCATCTTTTCATTTACTCAGTTCTTCTTTTATGTCTGTCTACAGTTTTGTAGTTTTCTCCCTGTGGGTGCTACACATTTCTTGAAATGTAAGCTCTCTGAGGGCAAGGGCTTGGTCCATTTTGTGCACGCATAAGTACATTACACATTGTAAGCACTTAATATTTGTTGTCTAGTGAATGAGAAAACTAGAAGAAAAATAAGCAATAAAGGAAATGCAGATAAAACTACAACTGATGTCATTTTTCACCAATCAGATTACCAAAGATCAAATAACTTAGAATGTTGGTGAAGATGTGGGAAAATAGGCAGTCCTATACACTACTAGTTAAGGTACGGGCATTAATTTTTTTTCCTGTATTTTGCAATGTTTTGACGTCTTAGCTTGCTGGCTGGAGAGAGACTGCCCCTCCCAGGACTCGCCCTTTCTTAGACATAGCAAAGGGCTTGCCCCAGAGCACATCTTTCATATACAAACCAACTAATCTCAAGTCTAAGGCCCCAATCGCCTCCTATCTAGCACACACGAGCCAGTATTTCCTCTGCCCTAAATTGTCCCAGGGCCAGATAGCAAGGCAACTAGAGACCACTCCTATTGCCCAACACCCGCCCACTGGAATTATTCAAACTAGCCAATCCCAAACTGTTCACTCTGCCCTGGCTTGCCTTTCCCTTAGAGACTCCAATAAAGGTTTTCCCTAGACTTCCCCCACTCGTCTGCCTTTTGCCTAAATCTGGTACTTCCCCTGGACCCTGTGTGGCGTGCAGTGACCTCTCTGACACCTGCGAATATAATAAACTTCCCCCTTCCAAGTCTTGTTCTCATCTCCACTTGTGGCCACACCTACTTTACCATGTTGTCTCCAACATGTACATTCGTAGAACAGTATAAATTGATACAACCTCTATAGAGAGCAGTTTTTCCAAATATCAAAAAAAAACCACGTACATGTTAACCTGGCAATTTCACTTCCAGAAATTTATCCTATAGGTACTCTCACACTTGTGGGAAGTGATGTGTAAGACTAATGTAGCATTATTTCTAAATCAGAGATTGGAACAACTTTACTGTCTAGCAATATAAAATTCCTTAAAAGGAGCTCTATAGGTACTTTTATGGATTGATCTGGAAGATACATTGTTAGGTAAAAGACGCATGATTCAGAAAAGGAAGAAAAGTGCCTTGGTTAACGACAAAAGTTCTAGTGCCAGACTGACTCCCTAGTTCTAGTGCCAATCCCTATTTTGTACCTAGTAGACCTCGGTAAAACTCAGCAAGTTATATAATCTCTCTGTGTCTCCATTGTCTTGTCTGTAAAACGGATATTTTTTAGAGCATTTTTATGTTCATAGAAATTGAAAGGAAGCTACAGAGAATTCCTATACACCTCCTGTCCCCCACATGCATACCCTCCACCACTGTCAATACCCCTGACCAGAGTGGTACATTGGTTACAACAGATGAACCTATGCTGACATAATCACCCAAAGTCCATAACTTAACGTTAGAGTTTACTCTTGGTGGTGTACAGTTCTTAGATGTTCTGTTCTAGTGTTGTTGGTTTTTCGTTCTTTTATTTCTTTGCATTTCACTTTGGGAAGTTTCTGTCAACATACCTTCAAGCTGACTAATTGCTAACTTGACCATGTCCAGTCTACCAATGAATGCCATCAAAAGCATTCTTCGTTTTTAGTGTTTCTTATTTCTAGCATTTCCTTTTGATTCTTTGAGCTTCCATGTCTCTGCTCACATTATTCTTCTGTTCTTGCATGTCGTCCACTTTTTCCATTAGCATATTAATCATAGTTATTTTAAATTTCTGTTCTGATAAGTCCAAAATCTCTGCCCTATTTGTGGTTTCTGTGCTTGCTTTGTCTCTTCAGACTGTTTTTATCTCTTTGCATGCCTTGTAATTTTTTTTCTTGAAACCCATAACATGATGTATTGGGTAAAAGGAACTGAGATAAGTAGGCCTTTAATGTGAGATTTTATGTTTATTTTGCCAGGAGTTAGGCTGTGTTTAATGTTTCCTATAGCTGTAGGTGTCAGAGGTTTCTAATTGCTCTAGTGTCCTTGTTTTTGTCTCCCCTATTGTCTTGGGTTTCCCTAAAAATTCCTTCTTAAATAGAGTCTGACCTTGCGGTTCTTTGAGCTGTAATCCACTGTTGCTGTACAGGAACCCTGTTGATGTGGTGGTAAAGAGTGGTGGGAGGGAAGCATTCTATAATCCGAGGATTAAGTCTCAGTTTTTTAGTGTGCCTGTGTCTCTGGGTTGTGACTTTCACAACTGCTTCTCAGCTTCCCCCCCTTAGGTGATACAGGAAGACTAAAGGGTCCTGGAGTTGGCTATTTTCCTTCTCCCACATTAGATAAGGCTCTGGTAAAGCAGTTTTCCTTGATGGTAAGACTTTGTTATAAAAACCAGAATGTTCTTGAAGGTATTTCAAATGGTTGTTTTTCCCCTGGGTGTATTTCAAAATGGTTAATTTTCCCCTCCCCCAGCCAAACAAGAGGGAACTTTTCTTCGGTCTTCACTATGAGAAGTGGTGCTCCTGGAGGTAAAAATCAAAGAAGTGTGGGGCTCCCCTCCCTTAGACTGGGGTCCCAAGAGTTTCTAACTCTCCAACTAGACCACACTCAGCCTCCAGCAATTTGTCAATTACCTTTGTGTCTTCCTACCAATACTGGCTCCACAGCTTCTACTTCAGGGAATCTGATCCACATTCTCTGTGTTCACCTGTTTCTCCAGTTTGGGGATGGTGTTTGTCCTGTGACCTCAGTTCTCTGATGGGTCTGAGAAGTTACTGATTTTAAGTTTGTTCAACTTTTTTCTTCTTGTGAGGGCTGGAGTGATGACTTCTAAAGTTCTTTACATTTTAGAGCTGTGGCTCAACCAATTTTTTTTTAATCTATTTCAAATGTTTCCTTTTGCCAAGCCTCATATCTTCACGTAACAGAGTCAGTTGGTTAAGATTTACATTCAGAAAGGTAAATTTGCCTACACTTACATAGAGATGTTCTACAAAGGTGAGAAAGTCTTGAACCATTACTAAACTTTCCTTTTGACTTTACAAAAGTCAACCTAACCCTTATGCCTCAGTTTCTCCACCTGTGAAGCAGATGTGCTATTTTGTGTAAGTAACTCTGGTTGACTCATGTTTCAGAGCCACTTCCAAGTACTAGAGGGAAGTATTGGCCTCGGCATTTCTCAAAAGGCAATGCAGAGAATTGAAGCAACTTCTGGCACCTGGGCAAATGGGGAAGCCCAACAACAAGATATTTTTTCCTCCTCATCAGCGCAGACAAGTTTCTCAGTTCTTTAATTTGCTCTGGCAATCTAGCTTTCAGGGTTCCAGGCTTGAAATTAAACAGGGGCCTTTCTAAGTGCTAGGAGATATATCACGGCCTGGAGTTCTTTTCAGAGGTGGAATTTCCCCTCCCCATCGAGTTTCTTGCTAGTTTCCCACTTCCCTTCCTCGTCTCATGTGTTATTTTGTTCTGTACTTCTTTGGCAAAGAAAATGAAAAGAATTACACGTAGGAGAATACATGAACACTGTTCAGGGCTTTGTCATATAGCAAAAACTTGCAACGGACTTAGGAGAAAGGATCCTACATTTCTACAGTATCTTGAGAATGGATATCACTCTGTCTTCTTACAAGTTCAAATTTAATTTTGAGACGTAGGGGCTGGTTCAGAAAGTAGGTCTATATCTGCCTCTTGGAGTTAGGAGGATGGGGAAATCAGCAGAGATTGCCTGGAAATTGTTAGCAGCATTAACAAATGAGCTGGTCACCCATGGCCTAGGAGCTACCTATGAGTCTTTAATAAACCACTATGTGATACCACAGAAGAAATTAAATTACATCACTTAATTGACAGAGCAATTAGCAAGCTGTCCATAAAGCCCCAAATAGCGAAAGGTTATAGATTGTGGCACCACTGCTGGCTGGAGGAGTTTTTTGTTTCTGTTTCTTACTATAAACTTCATTTAAATCATTATTTCTTCAACAGCAATCCAGCATCTGGCCTGTAGACATTCCATCTTCGTGGTCGTCATTTGTCCTGGTTCAGAGATAATTTTGGTTTTAGCTAGTTGAATTCAGAGTAGAATAAAGAAAACACACCCCCGTGTTTCCTCAGTATTTAGTATCCATGCAAACAATAATTTCAATATTTGCCCAGAGACAGATGAAACAACGAGCCTAACAAATCTGTGCCGTACACATATTTCAGCAGTGACCGTAAAAAGACATCACACCATATTCAGCTCTGTTCCCGAAATACACTTTTTGACAGAAGATAAATTAGACCATTGTACTGCATGGTGATGGGGCCCATCTCTCTACAAGGGTTTGACTAACTGCCTTTGACCCATGTCATTGACCACAGAAAGGAGAGAGAGAGAACACAAATAAATTCTGTGATTTAAAAGTACACTAAAGGGGATCAGCCCAGTGGCCGAGTGGTTAAAGTTCCATGCACTCCACTTCGATGGCCCAGGTTTGCAGGTTCAGATCTCGGCTGTGGACCTACTCCACTCACCAGCCATGCTGTGGAGGCATCCCACACACCAAATAAAGGAAGATTGGCACAGATGTTAGCTCAGGGCTAATCTTCCTCACCAACAAATAAATAAGTAAATAAGTAAGTAAATAAATAAACAGTACACTACAGAAAGTGGGCTTCTCTGGGAATCTGGTACATTCAGTCACGTGGTCTGTGCTCCGTTGTTTTGTCCTGACACCAAATGAAAGGGATAAGCCCACGTGGAAAGAAAGAAAGACGCTACCCTCCCACCTCTGGCCTGAGATGCAAATGGAAGAAAATCCATATGGGATGAAAACACTAAAGGCTATGCAGTAATTGGCAAAATCTGTGACCTAAACCATGTGAATATGACAGGGGAATGTCACATTATCTTTGAAAGATGGTTCCCTTCTACCTGAATGAATGCAATATCTTTTGCAGCAAATTTTCAAATTCATTCAGGCTATAAAAATGTTCACTGGTTCATGAAATGTCTGTTGACTCTAGCTCCACATACTAGTGCCATTCCTGCCTCCCGCCATTCTCAAGTCCTGTGACCCAAACTATTAGGCCAAAAGACTACATGTGCCCATCGATGTTGAGAAAATTTTCATCAAACTGTCATCTCACTGTGATTTTCCCATAAAAACTGAGCCAAATAAGAATGAAAAAGATGGGTAAACTGTGCTCTTCTTCTAC